AAAACTCAAACTCGAGAGCACGGTTCCCACATGTGAATCCAACAAAACAAAAACAAATCTCCAGTTATTCAATCATGATTTACTCAATGCAAACTTCCTTCTACAATAAACACGTGCAAAAAGCCCAAAATGGTCTATTCAATGTATAGGATAATAAAATCGAGACCATAAGCCGACCCCCATTTTTTTTCTTTTCATTTTTCTATATATATATATATATATTTTTAAATGAGTCACTTTTTCCAAATGGAAGCCATTAGGACGATTATTACCTAGGTTTAACATCGGGGTTTGTCCCCGAGTTGCCTAGGCCGGTTTCCCGTGCTCATTGACCCGATCTCTCTAGAAGATTAACCGAGCCAAGAGGAGCCTAATCCTTTCGACTCCCACGAACTCATTTCGTGAGCTTTTCTTTCCAAATGAGGTTTCCGGACGAGATTCCCTAGGTTTAACCTCGAGGGGTTTCCTCGAGTTTCCTAGACCGGTTTCCCGGGCTAATTATCCCAATCCACTAAGTGGCTCGGAATAAGAGGAGCCTAATCCATACTTCCTCGCGAACTCACTATTTATTCTTCTCCCTTTTTTTTGTTTTTTTTTTTAGGGGATGGCACACAAAGGTACATCACGAATACAATCATAATTATCAAAACTCAATCACGACGTACACAAAGTGTATAGCATAACATGTTTAATCAACGCTCGAACATAAGGCAAGCATGATCAAGATCCTCAATCAAGAACGAACAAAGGACAAGAAAGTCTCGAGAATTCACATGCAAGTTCCAATGCTAACAAATAATCATTTCATTATATAAAAACCGTCAAAATCATTGAGTGCATAAAGCATGAGAGTTAATAATGAACACAAACGACAATCCAATCTAGCCACTTAGTCATTCTGAGCAATTGGACTCACATCAATTCTCATATGGGGAAATCGACACAAAACACACAAAAACAAATAAAACCGGTCCACGACACAACTAAACAAAAAGAAAATACGCCTAAAGCATGCATAATCACGCAAACCCCTCCCCCACACTTAAAACAAAGCAATGCCCTCATTGCTTGACCCAAAAAGCATAGGAAAGAGCACGTAATCACACAAGCTTATGCGAGAAAATAAAAATAAAAACAAAACGAACTAGACCAACGAGAAAAAGAAAAGAAACACATAATCAAATAAAAAGAAAGAGAAAGGGAAAATAGGAAAAAGAAAAGAAAGCGCGTACTCTACACGGTATCGCCATCACCGTGTGTCTAATAGTGTTCGTCTGGTAAGGAGGGAGAGAGAGAATGAATATAATGTGTGTCCCTCGAGCTCGGATTAAAACATCCAATCGGATCGACATGAAGCACGGACAGACCATGAACCAAACGGACGAATGTAAACAATAATAGCATGAGAGAGACCTCGTGCATGTTTCTCGGAGAGATAAGGGATGTGAAAGCATGAACTTGATGTAGACACATGATACAATGAATGTCCAAAAATCGGGCCTCGGTCCAAGTTTGATCCTCCCCCACACTTACTTCCGACCAAATCCTCGGTTTTGTCGCCTTTAACGATTCCCGGCGCTTGCCGAAAAATTTTCAACCCTACAATCCATAGATCCGAAAACAATGCACAATATGTGGCACACCCGGCAAGGCGTGCCGCTCAATCACGAGCCAACTCTAACACCCACACGACTACTCCGGCAAGAGTAGCATTCCCAAGGTCAACACACACAATACAAGTCAAAGATAGGTCAAGCCGGTGTACCTTGGGTGTAGAGGAGACAAATCGGTTGCCGGAGGTCAGAAATAAAAGAACATACCAAGTAGAAAGCCTTGGTGGCCGGAAGAATTGACCGATTATGCGTAATCGGTCGTAAGGAACATGCAAATCTCGAAAAACGGTCACCGGAAGCTTCACGGGTGTCCGCTCGCCGGAAAATATGGTCGCCGGAAAAGTTCGCCGGATTCCGGCGACGGTGGTCGGAAAAGGTGCGCCCCGGCGAGAGGAGTCCGGGAGTGGTCTCGGATTAATGAAACTCCAAGTGAGTAGGCCGGAATCTAGGATTGAAGGTTGAAGTGATTCATAGATCTACGAGCTTTCGCCAGAAAATCGAAAGTCTTCTCGCTGGAATTTTCCGTTGACTTTCGGATATGTTGTTGGCGTCGACGAGAGCTTCGCGTTGATATAAAATTCGGTCCG